GCGTCGAGCAAGGTGTAAGAGCCGTGACGACGTACATTGCGCAAAGAGGTCGTGTGGAAGTCACTACATTCCTTGACCTTTGCGTGCTCAGCCACGATTGCTATTTACAACCATGAAATGAGCAACCATAAACATCACTGAGCTGTAAAGCCAAAGCACCACAACAAAAGATCGCGAATGAACGTTTTTCACAAGATTGCTCTGCATTTTGAAAAGTAGCGTGATTGAGTGTTTCAACGAATCGAGGTGTAGCGCACACATTCATCCATTCAAACTGGGAGATATCGTCGGTCATTAGGTCGACATCAGCAGGTAGCACAGTTAAATCCATGCTGTCTAATTAGGTAGCCTGAGCTCGTTTGTCGCTTTTAAAGCAGTTTCCTTTTGCCAGTGCCAAGCGAAAAGCGGTGGAGGGTCCACTTCTGACCATTATGCTCATGTTACAATTGCTCTGTCTTGATTTACGTTCATTCATTCAGCAGTGATAGTGAATAGCCGTACAATGTAACCAATTTGGCATAATGAGTTAGCCGAATTTTTCCGAATTCAGTAGCATTGACAGCGAATGGTAATAATTATTTGCGAGAAAGCAAGGGAACTACATCCAAAATCAACGGGACGAATAAAAGCCCGAAATAAACTAGCAAGGCGATTCAATTCTGGTGAAAATCAGCAGTAGCCGTTATGTGACAGCCTGCACTTTGTGTCTGGCTCAGTGTTTTGATGAGCTAGAGCGCAGACATGCAGAGAGTAGGGGATGACTCAGCTTGACACTGCGAAGCCACAATTGGCCCACCTAAGAAGTGGGTATTTTGAAGAGGAAAGCTGCACGGAATGCACAGGAGGACAGCCACACGACAAGGACGTCTCCTTTTCTTACTTAGACAGTATAGGTGCGAGAATTGCATGCAAATTCTCTTCTAGACCCAGTCATAGCTCCTCACAGTATGCGATTTGACTATTGGGCGGTTCAGCGTTGATGATTTGAGGAATATCGGACGACCGAAGTACCGTCACCAATCGTCTAGTCGCTTGATAGTCTTATTTTCAGATCGATAGATATGCTTTCCTTCCGGCCGAACTGCACTAGTGAACGAGACTAGTCAGAATACTGCCCGCTGTCGCTTAAAACTGCGCATGGCCGGGACCGACGTCTTAATCATTCCGAACTTCCAACATTTCAATATCCATAGCATTCTTCGAATTAGTGGAAACGCCTTGTAGAGACGGAAGAGCGGCGCATATTCGCCCTAAGAAGTTAACATCCAAGGGGCTTGTGCAGTCATGAATTACTCTTTTCGCTAAAAGGGCCACATCTTCCCTATTATAGAGCTCGGCTGTCAAACGGCCTGTACCGCAAGCGTGATATGAAGCTGTCCCATAACACGTCGCCAATGGCAATTACACCATAGAAAAAAATTTGCAACTTCATTTCAATCACCTCTACTGGCAGTTGTAACTACCACCTTTGGCGCACTATACCTTTAGCTCACATATAAGTTTGTCTGCAGGTTTTGAAATTGTGGGCCGGTGCCAGTTTCAGGAGGGGAGACGTGCGTTTCTCCTCCTGGGGTCGGTCACCACAGTTGCGCGATCTCATGGAAGCTTAAGGTTAAGTTTGGGTTTAGACTTAGGTTAAGGCTTATGCTTACACATTGGCTTATGCCTAAGCCTATGATTGGGCCTAGGCTTAGTCCTAGCTTGCTCCGAGCGAATGAACGGCGTCTCAATTTTAGGTGACCTGACCCCAGGAGGAGAAACGCTACGCACCCCGTTCAGGAGGAAGGGGTTGGTCCACCCGTTCTCGGCGGCTATTCGTTGTGGGTACACTCAATTGGCTGGTACCGCAACGCGACCGCGGACGCTAGCGAATCGCGCGATTCGCAAAGTCTGACATCGGCCTTAGCGAACCACACCCCTCTACACTTACCACGTGGTTACCAGGGAAGGCATTCAACTTCCCATGGAACTTTGAATTGAGACCCAGATATATCGATAGAGCTTCAAACGCTGATTACAAATATGGAAACTAAAACTGCAAAATGAACCTGCCAAGGAAGTTGTGAGCAGTCAAAGTTGGCTAAAGTAAAGCGTTGCATATGAACCGTGCTGGACCCCAGGACTTTCAGAGTCACCGAGGAGTAGTGGTACTGCCCTGCTTCTCATCCGGGAAGTCATGATTCTCTCCTTCTTAGATTGCAAATTTCGAGAGTACTACCAGTACTAAACAGCGACCTTGTGAGCGCGGAGACTAGCACGGTACCGGGTTTACTTCCGCCAAATTTGACTGCTCACAACTTCCCTGGCCAGTTCATTTTGCAGTTCATAATTTTGATATTTTGATGATCAGCGGAGCCTCTTTTGACATATCTGGGACTCAATTTAAAGCTTCATGGGAAGTTCAACGCCTTCGAAGGCTACATCAATATTATGAAATAGACGTCACAGTTTCTCATCCACATGTTTCTGCTGCAACTGCACATGAACGTTTACAATTGACGGCAGAGGCTACTTTGCGCCAGAGACCGCGGTCGGTGTACGGCGCAACTTTCGTAGCTTCTTTAGTCTTGGATTACGTTATGAATCGTACGCAAATGTCTGATAGAGTTCTTTATTTTATGCTTTGTCTAATTGGTCTTATGACAAATTTCGGAATTTCATGTTTGAAGAGAGGATTTTGAGCATGCATTTGGTCTGTGTTTTTCCGACAGGATGTTGTATGGGTATCTCGCGGACTTCCATCACTGGAAATCAATTCGTATTTGCCACATGCTTTTGATTTAATATGTTAATTCACTTTTTGTTTAGGTTACTTCGCTCTGGCGACTTTGAAGTAGATTTGTTTTGTTTGTACTACTAGAGGAACCTAAATCAGAATTACTCACTGGCTGAATCGCTTCGGACATCCCTGTGGTTGGATATTCAATCCAATGGTGACTCCTTTTCTTATCTTACTTTGGAAATTGCTGATTTATAGACTTAGTTCGCATGGCATTTTTCTTAATGTATTCACTTGATCAGGGTGCCAACTCATCCTCACAGCTAGAAACGTGAAATAAATGGGGAACCTCACTCAGGGAATGAACACTATTATGGACTAGTAAATGTAAGTGTTTTGAATATTACTTCTATCCGACCGCATTTTTGTTTTTTACTCTTCTTTCTGCCAGGAGGGTATAAAAAAAAGGATAAAGCATTTGCCGTTGATCAATCCCTTTTTGGGATGCGGCACGCATTCTACTTCCATTTGTACATTCGCAGTGGCGTTTGAATGCGATGTGGCCTATACAATGACTTGCGGGGGCCAGCCGATGTACAAGTCAGTGTTTTTATCCTCCCAGACAAGTCTGGTACCAATTAACCGACCCCGGAGGGATGGAAGGCTTGGTTGGCCCGGGCGACTCACGACCCAGGATTTGATCCCCGGACCGCTCGCGTGGTGAGCGCGCCACTTGTCACTACACCACTTCCGCCCTTATAAATTCATATAATGTCCCTTTTTTCAGGGCATCAGTGCATTTGAATTAGTAGTTATTAGGTGGCTATTAGGAATTGACTCATTCCATCTTTCGTTCTTTACATTGAAATGTGGAACCGCAGCGTCTATAAAATTGAAATGTAGCATTTTCCCCATTCGTACGGGGGATTATTCACTACTTCCTATTCGGTTTCCTATTAATATCAACGTTTTTATGCAAAATGAAGTTCTGACTAAAAACAAAGCTCAACAAATTAAGCGATGAATAATCTCCCCATTGGTTGTCATCGTCTATGACTTACTGAATGATTCCATTTTATGCGATGCATGAAGTTGTTGATGGTTCATGGCAACCTTTTTCCCGGTATTCACAAGTATCCCACGTCCACCTAGTATCACTGAACGCGAATCGTGACTTTTTATTAAGCGGTTACTTTCCCAACAGAAGTCACTTTTTCTCATATGTAAAACCACCACCCGACACAGTGCAAATGTCACAAGGCACTCTAGCTACTGAGTTTTCAAAATATGGTACCTGCAAATATAATTTCTTCTTAGTTGTTCGAGGACTAATGTGACCAGTCCTTGCATCTCTTAAAGCACAGTACAGGGTTAGCTATCATTCAATAGATACTCCGCAAAGTGAGGTGATTGGAATAGTTGATGCCGCTGCACTATATTGAATAGTCGATAAGGATTCTGTCACGTAAACGTTAAAGGAAGAAGTAAAAACTCACCTCTGAAATGCGTGAGAAGGGCTCGAAGTTCGTCGAAAAGGGCGGGTCAACCGAGCCTCGGTTGACCCGCCTCCTTGCTGCTGTGAAGAGCGCTTGCTCGAATAGCGGTCGTTGCGGGACCGCCGCGCTGTATCAGGTCGATTCCATGAGAGCGCAACTTAAGCGCTTCAATTTCGATTGCTGGCAAATAGTTATGTATTTGCAAGCATGCATGGCTATTTGCCAGCAGTCAATTGGAGCGCATGTACTACGGGCAGGTTCGGACAACTCGTCCAACACACGTCTCCCTAAACGGCAGGGGGAGTCCCTGTCTAAGCCCCTGCCCGACGTTTTTTTCTACTTTTTCTATCTCCATTGACCAACTTCTCACCTGCAACGTCATTATAGGTGGTCCTTACCCGCGAATTCGTTCCTGGATTGTTGCTTTAAAATCAAAGTCATTGAGTTCATTATGTGCAGGTCAACCGACTCGTTCTGGGCGAAGTGCAGATGTAAATTGGGATCAGCTGTAGGAGAATATCGTTAAACGGCACCTCAGTTCCACAGTTTTAGTAAACCTTTGGCAGGCAGTGACTGACCGGTGATCGATCGTGAGGGTGGCCGCGATTGGAGTCATATACCACGAGAGACACGAGCGATTAATCACTCGTGTCGCTCGCGTCGCGTCAATCGCTTGTGCCAGTCGCTCCACTCACAAAGTCTGACATCGCCATACAATGCACCAACTGAAATTCGAAAGCTACTAAAAAACTCTCGCGGTCTCATATATGCTCTAAGGTTAACCTATGATTCAGTTTGGAAATACTTGCTATTGCAATTCCGTCATACAAGCACTGTACTTTTGTCGACCATTTCGGGAAAAAATTCTGCAGTATAAGCAGCAGTTGAAGAAATCAGCGTAGTGTGTATCTAAATATTTATTGTTGGAGTAGAAGTATGCGTTTGTTACATTGCCACTGTTTCTTTTCCCGTTACTCGTGGGAAGCTTTAGGAAGCCAAAAGGAGAACCTAGCAACCTGCCTCGCTGATTTATTCCACAATATAGCCACACAGAAACGTCGCGTAGGCACTATTGCCCCAAACGCTTTAGGCACTTTTTAAATTAAAGAAGGCAAACGGTGAGGGAGATTCCAAAGACTAGTCAGTCGAATTTGTCTTCCGATATTTTGTAAAGTATGTGATTCAGAGTTGTTCGACAACTATATGCAGCAAGATGCCCACGAGTTTTTAAACTATCTTCTTAACACGGTATCCGAGACTTTGATAGAGGAGAAAAATGCCGAGCGTGATCGTTTACTAAGGAATGGAACCCTTCGCAAAGGAACACTAAATACCGACAGAGGGCGCGACGAAACCAGCGGGTACGCATTTTCCGTCTCTTGCTAATCCATTATTATGTACTGTTTGCTTCTTATTCTTTTTGCTTTCTCTGTGATTCGAGATTTCAGACCCTCCTCGAAAGTGGATAAAACATGGATACATGAAATCTTCCAGGGAACACTTACGAACGAAACACGCTGTCTGTGTTGCGAAACAGTAAGCAGCTTTTTTCATACTTCCAGCTGAAAGTGAATTTCTATAAGAAGTTGAACGGGAAAACTTGGCTCTCTTCCCCGTGATGTCCATTATTCCAAAGACCGCCGGGTGATTTTTTTTCTTGAGTGTTGCTCTGGTTCTCGCGATTGATTCTACAGAGGTCCATAAATATGATGAGAAGATGATGTAGTCCATCTTGAAACGGAAAAAGTCTGGGCGGAAATCGACATAGCAACAATTAAAGGGTACCTATCGAAAGTGGTGTTCATAAGCGTAATAGAGTCTTCAGATGGACCTTGCAGACATGGACCTCTCTCCCACCTCCAAATCTTCATCATTGTTTTGGAAACCGTTCCTAGGATCCATTCAAACTTCGTTGTTTCTTTCGGATCTTCGGTTTAAATAGCTGCAACATTGAATAACAATAACAACAACAGCTCTTCGAACTGTGGGATTTGGCTGCCATTCGTAGTCTGACAGAAATCACGGATGGATAAGTGGGCCCAGCATCAGATTTCAGTCAATGAGCCAATACATATGCCGTCGCTGATGAATAGAACAATGCTTCACTGAACGATGATTTGGTCATCCATAAAGATATTCGGAGAATCTCTCATGGAACTTAATAAGTGCTCCGCTCGCGGCCATCGCCAGAAGGCCGTGATATTTTTAACTATTTTTCTCCTCTGCTTATCCGAGAGAGCTTGTCGTTTTCGGGTTTTACAAGTTTGTATCCCAAGTCTGCTCCGCACAACTCTTCCCGCATTTATTCTGATTTTGTCGAAACAGTAGCCAGTTCTTCCGTGGTCACTCTCCTTGGATTCACTCTTTGACAATATTACGATCAAGCTTCCCCAAAGCAACCAGTATACCTGTACAAGGAATATCATTGAGTGTAGTTATCTGGCGATCTGACCGTGCGTCCTCCAATAGAGCGGTTCTCTGACGGAATTGGATCGGAGGCGCGTAGGACTCAAACTTTGTTCTTTTTGAATGGAGTGGTTCTTCACCAGATAATGCAGTGAAACTATGAAACTGTAGAATCATATGTAAAATAAAAGAATATGAAGGATGTGATGATTTTATAGAAAGTCCTGGTCATTGTTACGTGACGGCATTTTGAGGCACTAGCTTGTTACCATTTTTCATGCCCGTCTCGTATAACAGTTTCTCGCTTCATTCCGTTTAAAGCGACGATCCTTTTCAAGGTATCGAGCAAGGATGAAGATTTTCTCGATTTGTCTGTGGACATAGATCAAAATGCTTCCATCACACACTGCTTGCGAGTATTCAGTGAAACAGAAACCTGTGTGGGAACCAGCGTAGGCTCCATCTGCTTCGCTTATTTATTTGGATATGTTGTTTTGTCTCTTCTCCTTTTACCCTCCATCCTACATCTATAATTTCAATTTTCTTTACCCTCACACATACTAGAACGTTCTACATATTACGCACCGTTTTTAGAAATACTTTTGCGAAACTTGTTCATCAAAGCAGGAAGCTCAAAAAAGAATGCGTATCAAACGACTACCATATGCTGGCATTACACTTGAAAAGGTTCGCTGCAGTATACCTTTCTTTTAAAAAAGCCGGTGCCAAGATAGTTCTGCATTTTCAGGTTCAAATATATGGATCAATTAAGTCGTTACACGAAACTTTCACATAGAGTGCTGTTTCCTCTAGAGCTGCGTCTGTTCAATGTGGTAAGATTTTTATTATTAATCTAATTTTTAAGTTTCTCTCGGTGTGGATATATTTTGTTGCATTACGACTTTGAGGTTGGATAGGTGTCAGAATTTGCGATTCAATCGCGATGGGGCAAAGCGTGATCCTAAGGCGATGTCAGAATGGCGCCCCTTCTCACTCGCGTCACAGTGCGAGCGCCATCAACAGTGGCACGAGCCACTCGCGACTGTGGTCAAGTGTGATACGTGTCTTAGGGTCAAGCATAAGTTAAAAAAATTGTCCACTAGATTTCTCCTATCTTTTTGTACTCACGAAATAGTCGCACTGTAGAGGGTCGCATTGTGTGTCTTGTCAAGCGCACACCCTCGTGTAGCCCTTCGAAGCTGCAGCTAACGGGGCTACACGTTGTGCAGATGGATCAATATGTTTATACCGTAATTGGTTTCGGGTCTGAAGTGATGTCTCTTCTAGGTTCACGTGCATCCAATGTCATCAGATGTTGCTGATTCACCTCTGATCCTGATGTGGCCCTTTTACCCTTTTCGCCAAAGCATCTTTATGTGATTAACTGCATTTGATAAAAGAGTTGACCAACTGACGTACAGCCACATGTCTTGATTTCTAAATTGTACTTACAGAGCGATGACGCGTCGAATGGTGATCGTCTTTATGATCTAGTTGCGGCGGTCGTCCATTGTGGAGCTACACCTAATCGAGGCCACTATATCACTATTGTCAAGAGTAACTCATTTTGGTTGCTATTCGATGACGATATTGTGGATGTAAGTGTATCAATTTCTGTTTTATATGGCTAATTTCGCCCCCACTCCCCTAATTTCGGCAAATCCATTAAGAAGCCATGAGACACTTGTAACGGGCACTTACCTCAAAGTAGCAGTGTTCGAGCCATTCATCCTATTGCACACACCACGTAATAGTAGTTCAAGGTTGTTTCATTAGTCGGTTCCTATTCGCATTCAGCTCACTAAAACAACTGCTGATTTACGTAATCAAGTACCGCACTATCTGCGTCTAATAAGAGCAAGCTCAAACCGTAATCGTGCCCTCTAACCATTTATATATCTCAATGATTATTCTCACTACATGGTCTCTGGTGTTCTTCCTATTTGTTCCTTTTAGTATTTTCTATTAGGTTGTCCCATAATTAGTGAATCACTTTACATTTATTGCTATAAATCCAAGAAAAATCTTGAAGGCGTGAAACATGTTTTGCCAAGTAGTACCCACATTGTCCTACCTGAGCAATTAGTCAGCCCATTCACATGTTGCCTTCCGAGGCTTAAACTTCAATTTTTCTGGAATCTTTCCCCAAACACGAATCGCCATGTTCCCTCTGGCTTCCCAGAGTTCTTTTCAGTGATCATCCTGCGTACTCACCAGTGTTGTGAAGTGGGTGGAGTGTGCTAGCAAATTCACAAGGAGCAGTAGCCTAGCTTAAAAGATTCGGGAGTTCTGACAGCAAAAGCCCAACCTCCTCTATGTTCGACACTTTTTGTGGAGCACAGAAAGGGACCTTGCGCTGGGAACCGCCCCAGTAATACTAGGGTCAGTGATAAGGCAACGTCGACAGCATAATGGCGACGCGTTCTATCTGAAGGTAAAGCAAGACAAAGTCTGTTTTTTTTTCTGAGGTCATTCGACCCCACCTTTCGGAAAATGTTCATAAAAATTGGAGACCTTTGTCTAGCAGTTCTTCCAGCTCCACCGTGTTGCTCCACCCTCGTACCAGCGAAAGGTAACCTAGTCACTTATACCATTACTTCTTCAGGAAGAAATTTTACGCTAAGTGACATGACCTCAAACCGACTTCCGATCTTTCTTTGATCAATAACTCCTGGAATTCTAGAGAGAAAGGACAGCGACTAAATTTCCATGTATAGGCAATAGTTTGTAGATAACAAAGGTGTATGTTGATGAGCAACACTTCATATGAAAAAGAAAAAAATTAAAATTGAAAAATGCCCAAAGTGATTTACTAATTATGGGACAACCTAATAATTTACCGGCATGATTTGGACGAAAGACAAATGGCAGAAATTATTTTTCATCAACAATTATTTTTCTAAATTTTTCAATTTTCACCTTTGCTGTTCCACTTTGCCCTTCGTTATTCTCTTAAACATATATTGAATCCCTCTTGTTTTTCTGCCATTTCCCTTCCGTCCACGTTTTTCATCCGGCTTTGTTTTGTTTCTCATTCCCATTGTTGCTTTGAATTCTTCTCCACTTAAACGGGTGAGCTTTTTGCTGCATTATCCAGCCAAAATCGTTTGAAATTTTTCTAAACCATGAGAGAATTTGGATATCCATGCTTCTCACTACATCCGCTATTTGTGAGAGTATCATTAGTTTCATACTAGCACTCAAGTGGGTATTGTGATTTTAAATTGATTTTGTTTTTGTATTGAAGTTTTCGAGGCTTCAGAAAATGGATATTTCTTCAATGGAGGACTTTTTTGGACTGTCAGACGGCGGGCTACAGAAGAACTCCGAGTCAGCCTACATTCTGTTCTATCAAGCCCGGGATTGTCCAGATTTACTGAAGTCGAACGGATCCGCCTTCTCGAACCATGCTTCAATTTAACGACAGGCTCGTTAGTAGTGTTGCAGAGTTTAGAATTAATTATTATTATTCGAGTATGTATAGTTTTCCTGCTTCTCATGCGTTCTATTTTATGTCCTCCGTAGTTATTGAGAACTTTTTCAGAAGGATAGCAAACGAAAAAATTCTTGAGGCCATGTGTTGGTCCTGTGTGTGGCTGTAGACAAAGCTTCACTTTACAGCAGCAAAAATTAAATTAATGCGATCGACCAAACAAGTAGATTGTTCGAAGATGGTCATGTAGTTTTCACGTAGAGGTAATTTCTGTTGGTTGTTAATTTATTTCGTTTTTATTGGCCAATGCAAAGCATGCATTGCCTTGTTACCCTGTATTGATTCGCTGTGTTTTGCGGTCATAGACAGATTTCGTAGTAGAGAAAGCTAATGTTCTAGATATCTCAATCATCAATCCGGTCATATATGGGGAGAAAAATTCTTTATTAGTAGGAAGGGTGAGCATAAGTTCGAGACTTGTGGTGTTGTGTTCGCCCTCAGCTCTGGATTACTGCATAAAATGACGTATTACAGACAAAATCTATGCCTTCAATGTTATGTTTTGAAAACATTTCGCGAATTTGCTGTGTGGTCAAACAATTGTCCCACAAGTAATTTTGTATATATGCCTGTTGTCTAGTCATGTTATAGCTTATTTATCTCTAAATGCTTTCTATTTAACGCCCTGCTTTTTCCGTTGTAATGCAACACTTCTCGTTATGTTTAATAATAGGAGATGTGACTGATCGGGTTAGCGATAGACCATTTGTGATTTTCGATGTAATTATGCTGAACAAAGGGATATTCATTGTAATAAAATCGTACACTTCGCTATTCGAAAGGTTATCCATCGATTTTTACTCCACCAAAGTTACGGCGTGTGCGTGCTTTGGTTCACGATGGTTTATGAGCGCACACATTGTTTTACAAAGGGAAATGAAAATCAAGTGTAGCGAATTTCGAAGGTTCCCGTTGGATTGTTGCGAAAGAGTAACGAAATATTTAGCCCACTCTTAAGCGATATCGTGGGGCGAGCTGACACAAGAAAAAGTGACGTCTCCGTACGCTTCGACACATCGATGGAAATGATGGCAGTCCATAGATTGGTTATCAGAAAAACCATATTAGAGAGGTTCTGTGGTGGTATCTTGAGCGAGAGTTTGCCTTGTTGAACTTACAACTAGTTTATTTATTTATTCATTCATTTATTTCGCGACTAATGTCACAGCATAAATTAATTATGACAGGTGGAACCATGTAGGCGAGAATTTTACGATAGTATAAATGCGGAAATTTTATAGAATGGGCTTTAGTGAGAAGGGCTTTACAATATGCGAGAAGGTCTATCCATTTACTAGTTTATTTGAGGGAGAGCGACAGATATGGCTGATGTGATCCCATTTTGTGGAAAGGAATGGCAGTGATCGCTAACATTTCAAGCCACTAGAGGAGGATGAGGCTCCGGGAACCAGCTTAGAAGGTCCACCCACTTTTTCAAAGATACAGGAGTGGAATCAGGCCTAGGAAGAGGATTAATCGATGAAGCAAGTGCAAAGTAAAAGCTAATGAAGATATCTCATAAGGGTAATACTAACAGAAGAACTAGAAGCTTTCAATAGGAGAAGCTAGGAGATCGTGTGTAGAAGCTTCAAACTGAGGTGTGTTCCTTGTCTTCACACCATCTGTGTTGGAAAACTGCTAAATCCAGGAGTCCCAATATTCCCCTCACCCCAAGGAACCTGGGCCACCGGGCTATTAGCTGAATGAGTGTAAGACTTGAGCAGGAGCAGGTTATCACAAAGTAGTGAGCGAAAATTGAACCTGCAAACTACTGATTTGTGCGATAGTGGAAATAGACCTCTACGAATCCCATGTAAGGGTAAACCTACGAAAAGCCACGAAGGGTCTCG